AATGAATTAGTTGAAGATCAGATGCAATACAATCCAATAATGTTAATTTTTTTTTCCATTCCATTTGTGCTATAGAATGAAGATTGCTACGCAAAGAACCTTTTCCCGCGTATTGCATCACAAGAATATAATTTTTAGAAACATTCTCTTCTGAAATTCCATAGCAACTTAAAAATGTTGGATTTTTATTGCCAATATCACAATATGCTTTTAACTTTTGCATTAAAAATATGTAGTTAAATATAAGTCATTGAAACTTAAACATATTAGTACAGAAATAAAATTACCTCTTTCACAAATTCTTCCTTATACTCTTTCGAATTATGAAGCAATTTAAGTGCAACAGGCTGACTACGGCCTTTATCTATCCACACAGCATAATATACTGTTGCAAATCCACCTTTTCCTATAACTTCAATATTTTCGAATTCATTATAAGGAATCCAAGATAACGAATTTTTGTTTTCAACCAATATTTCTTTTAAATTTTCATCAATATATAAATTATTAATTATTTGCCTATTTGTTACTAATAAATGTTAATTATTATTAGTTTGAATTGTCTAACAAATAAATATAATCCATAATAATTAATTACCTGAAATTTGTTTCCGTTCTCTAATAATTTATTTTAATTACTATTAAAAAGAAATATATAATTTAACATGATAGCATAAAATAACTTACATCTGGTACCATTCATTAGCTTTTTGTAAGTCTCTTGTCACTCCAATTCCATTTCGATAATAATGACCAACATAATGTATTCCATCAGCGTCCCCCATTTCAGCAGATTTTTGAGTATAAAGGAATGCCTTATGTTCATCCTTTTCAACTCCAATTCCATTTCGATAACAATATCCAACATTATATGTTCCATTAGCGTCTCCCATTTCAGCAGATTTTTGATAATAAATGAATGCCTTATGTTCATCCTTTTCAACTCCAATTCCATGTTGATAACAAAATCCAACATTAGATGTTCCACTAGAATTACCCATTTCTGCAGATTTTTGATAACAAATGAATGCCTTATGTTCATCCTTTTCAACTCCAATTCCATTTTGATAAAAATATCCAACATTATATGTTCCTCTAGCATTCCCCATATCTGCAGATTTTTGATAATAAATAAATGCCTTATGTTCATCCTTTTCAACTCCAATTCCGTGCTGATAATTATATCCAAGGTCATAAGAATCTAAATCAGTTGATTCTCTATGATGAACCGAATTATTATAATCCATTTTACTTTTAAATATGAATCAGGTTTAGTCGTTTAAGTGTCCTATTTTGATTTTTGCTTCACTATCAACTATTGAATGGTACGTCCGTACGTACAACTTATTATAGCTAGCATCAAACTTTCAACCTTAAAATTTTGAGTTTTAAAGTAGTGTCGCAGGTGAAATTGTCCACAATGTTACGTACGTACACGTACTAATAGAGTGATCCTTACCAAAATCGATTATGTAACGTGATATCCTTCTACGTTACAATTTGATTCACATAGTTTACGTACATAGTTTGTCATTGTTCTTAACGTAAAACGTTGTAATAAGGACTTTGATCATAACTAATATCGCATAACGTTAAATTTATATATTATATATACTGTATATATATTCATTAAAGCTTAATACGTACGTACATATATAATTTAGTAGAAAGAATTGAGACATATAAAGACATGACGACAGTTCCAAGGAAACAACCACAGCTGTTATTGCACGGAAGAATTTCTCATAATGTTCTAGCTACCCTTGCTGCATCAGCATCAAGAAGCATTGAGGAAGTTGGAGGCATGAAACAATATTTTCGTAATTTGTTTCTTACTTTTAGTACGATCTAACTATATTGTTACTGATCTATTTTTTAGAGCAATTTTCGAGTATGCATAGTGAAACTTGGGGATGGAACTCAGAATCAGAGGTTGGTTATATAATAATTTTATCACTGTTATGCAAGAAATTCGATTTTTCCTTTTTTTTTATTTTTAAATTCTCTGAATATATAGTCTCAACCTTCATGCCACCAAATCAATAAATATCTATTCTCTACATCAGATACTGGTAAACATCTTGTTTGGGCTTCTCAAAATTATTTTGTAATATTAGCATTGGATGAAACAAAAAAAGAGTTCCAAGTTGTTGGTCAAGGAACCGGTTGTTTTCAAGAAGGAGAAAAGATAACGGCTGTATTGTGTTTACCATTTTTTATGCCATCAGCTAATAATGGGTATTTTTATGTTTCTTATCAATACCAAATATTTTTTTATTTCGATTCGCATTTTAACTCCATTATTGCTTTGATACCTATTAAATCAGTCAAATATTTGTTGTTATTGGGTATAACACGGGATATATAAGAATATTTACAGAGGTAACACTTTGATTTTTTTGATTTATTTTTTATCGTATTTCCTAATTATTTCTAACTCTGTGTTATCTCAGACAGGCAATCTTCAAATCTCTCAATTATTAGATATTTCTCCAATTTTGGAGATAAAACTTCGTACTGCAAATATTCCCACGTTTTCTTTACCAGTATCAGTTCCATCATCACCACAAAAAACTTATCATCAATCATTTATTGAAATTGATGAAGAAATTACTATACTTTTTAAAGGTGGAAAAGTTGTCAGCATTGATGGAAAAAGTTTATGGACGGTATTGAGAATATGTATTAATTCTGGTAATGTTGGAATTCCTGATACTCCTACAACAACTGGTGGTTCTACTTCATTCGCATATAAGAAATGGCGATTTGAAGGTCAGGAGGCTGTTTTAGATGTTGTAAGTTGTGGTAAGATTTTACATTCATTATATTATTAGGGTGGTAATAATAATATAATTATTAGTTGATTATGATTTCTCGTGATTTCTATTGAATCAATAATTTACTATCCCTACGTACTAGTGATTTATTTAATAATTGTTATATAATTCTTTTCAATTTTAATTAGGTCCATCTCACAACACAATATCAGACATTCTTGATCAATCGTTATCATCATCTGCATCCACAGCTTTATTTCCTTTTCAAGCTACTGCTCGTTATATAGCTGTTGGATCTAATCCTATGCTATCATATTACGCAACTACTGACTCAAGTCGACCTTTTTATCTGGCTGTATCAATTGCGAGCATGGTTGCTTCTAAAGTTACGAATGCTGTATTCTCTCTTGCGAAAACATTATTAACGGCAACAGGAACTATTCAAACTGCGGGTTCTGATGGTGGTCCATCTATGGCAAATATCGCGCCTGCCACGTCTATACCTTTGGTATTGTCTTTAAAAGATACTAATAGAAAAATAACAAAGATAATGTATGTATGTTTGGTTTGATTTAATAAATAAAAAATAATTGTAATGAATATTTTAGTTATTCAATTTATTATGAATTTTTAATTTATTCAAGAATGTCCCCTGCCGCTGCGGATGGAAAATATCAACTAGCTGCTTTAACCGATTCTTTGGGCAGGGTAGGATGGAATTTGTTGTATACATTATAAGAGGGATCAGAATTTAAGTAGATTTGAATTTCTTAAGAGTTTAGAGTTAGTGTATACCTGAAATTACAATTTAATAAGAAATTCCAAATCCACTTAAAATTCTGTTACATAATATATTGGGTTATTTTAATAGTATTAAAATAAATTTTATTTTTAGGTCACTCTTGTAGATGTTGAAGAAGGTGAAATAATTGCAATGTACAAAGGAATTCGTAATGCACAATGTGGATGGGTAGAGGCAATGGATGAGAATGAAACTGAGGAGGATTGTACAAGTCCTAATCAGAAACATAAAAAACGATCAGCTTCTAAACGTATAACACTGTTTCTTGTAATATATTCTCCAATTCGAGGGGTGGTAGAAATTCATCATATGCGTCATGGAACTCGTGTCGGTAATTTTTCGATTGGCCAAGGTTGGAATTTAATTACAACTGCTTCTGCACCACTTGGAACTAGCATGTGTGCTGGGCTAAGTTTTTATGAACGTGGAGGTAGACGTGGCTATAGAAACGCTGGGTTGGCAAAATGTTTCTTGATTGATCCACAGGGTGAAATTAAAAGAGTTCATGTACCATTTGAATGTGCGGTCAAGTAAGTGATTTATTTTTAATTAACTATAATCGTGTTATATTAAATGCATTTTATATAGAGGTGGGGAAATGCGCATTTTATAATAGCATGCGCATTAATGCGCATGATAAAAATTTTTTTATAATTTGTATTTATTAATTGCAACATATTTAAATAAAGATGATACGTACATATAAATTCTTAATCAGATTTTGCCTACATATATAAATTTTTACTACTGTAATTTTATCGTTACTTATCAAGTTCACAGTATATTTTTATATAATATAATAATATATATATATGTGCGTACATAAATACATATATTGATTGGAATTATTTTAATATTGCTAATTCATTTTTATCCCCTGCAGTACTATAATCTATTATTCCATCTTGATAATTTATCGTCGCATATATATTCAAGATTTTGTACACAGTTGCCTGTAATTTATACTAAATTTTATGCGTAAAATTTTGTCCCTCATCGAGGAGGTTATAAAAGCAATGAAATACAGTTTTGGGTATTCTGTCCCTGCTGCCTCGTGCAATTAATCAAACCATAATGCAGATTTCGAAAGCATCGATAAATGTGCCATAAACTCATTGGTTGTGAACTAAACTCTTAACTGTCGCATTTCGAAGTTTTGTTTTCTTTTCCCTCATTTGTTACGCTCTAATTACTAACAGTAAATACCCGAGCGTAAATGCCCACAAAATATACGATTTTCTGTGACAGCCACTAAAGCTTGGGTTTGGCTGTCGTCCGACAGGCCAAACACAACATAATATAAACAAAGCGATATATCTCTGTGACTGTCGTCTGGACAGGCCACTTACTAAGACTCAAGATTTGACTGTCGTCCGACAGGCCAAATCCGAACGTATATGGACAAAGCAATAAATTTCTGTAATTGTCAATCCGACAGGCCAAATCCGAACGTATATGGACAAAGCGATAAATCTCTGTAACTGTCAACCCGACAGGCCGAATCCTAAAGATATTCACTAAACCATGGCTATTTCCTCATTACGCTCCTACCATCTAACGATACCTACCCGAGCGTAATGCGCACCAATACAATAACATTCATGTGACTGTCGTCCTGACAGGCCACTTATCAGATACACCTAAGACTCCAAATATCGTGTCAACAATGTTCATTAGACCACCTTAAAAGGGGTGGTACGAAAAAAACAGACAAAATCGAGTTAGCAGAAAAAACAGAAATTATCTTGTCTGGGAAAAACCCGTCCCCTCTAAATATGCTTTAATGATTACAGATCGAAAAAACCTACATAATTATGTTGTTACTATAATATACTCTCACAACGTAATTACGTAACTCTAATGATCACCAGATTGAAAAATTATTAACTATACCAACGATTACTAATCGAAAATACTACGCAATAACAAATCAATAAACTACATCATTTCGCTATAACGTTTGCATAATACGCCCCTACTCATCAAGCATAAATAATACAATCATTTGATAACTCCGTGTTCGATTCGAGACAAAATGCTGCTCCAATACTATTGTATTGGGCAGCTAATTGTAAAACCTAATATACTATAATCATATTTAGAAGCAACTTTGAATCAAAAACCTACTAATTTTTAAGCAAATAATATTGTGTTTGTTATAATAATGTTCTTGATTCAAGATATATAATAAATTTTAGGTGACTGATATTTTCACACCCCTTTTTTGATATTTCACACCTCATTTTTCTTAAAACTTCAATCAAAGATATCATCTTCTCCAGTATTGCCAACAAAATTTTTTCGATCACGTGATAATAGATAAAATTGTTTAAGTTCGTTTATGTTAGGGTTAGCATCTGAATTAAAGTTGGATATTAATGGGAATATAGTAAAATTATTCGAGGAATTTTTTTTGTTAAGTACAAAGAGTCATTTCTTAAGTGAATTTTTGAGTTAAAGATGATTTTTTCTAAATGAATGTTTGTTTTGAAAATTTTTGATCATGTGATGTTACACCAAATCAAGATTCTTTATTGACTAATTTTTCATAGATCATCACGTGATCAAAAAAATTTATTATAACTTTGTTGGCGATACTGGGGTAGTTAAAGATATCTTGATGACTACATGATCAAAATTCAAATTTTTTTTTTAGAATTCTGAGTTTGAAGAATTCAAATAAAAAAAATTCATTAAAATTTGGTTAGGTGGTTATCTAGATACTTTCAATCAAAGTTAGAAAAAATTTTGATGCAGTTATTATTTTGATGAATGTTTAGATTTTTTTAAAATTTGATTAAAAGTATTTCAACAACCACCTGATCAAATTTAATATAATTTTTTTATTAGAATTCTGAGTCTGTAGTATTCTAATAAAAAAATTTATCAAAATTGGTTAAGTGGTTATCAAGATACCTTCAATCAAAGTTAGAGAAAATTTTGCTGTAATTCTTATTTTGATAGACATATAGATTTTTTTAAAAACTTTGATTAAAGTATCTTAACAACTACCTGACAAAATTCAATAAAATTTTTTTTATTAGAATTTTATGAGTTTGTAGAATTTAAATAAAAAAATTCAAAGAATTTGGTCAAGTGGTTATCAAGATACCTTCAATCATAGGTTTAAAAATCTTTTTTTTTTTTTTTTTTTTTTTTTTTTTTTAAGGTGAGGTTTTGCCTTTATCTTTATTAATAATTTGTGTTGAGAA